GAGCATCCCCCCTCTGCTCCCCCTGCCAAGCCCCCCGCTAGTGGTCAACCATTCTTTCTTTTCAGCAGAATAAACCTGCCATGGGATCCTTGGGGGAAAAAAAAAAAAAATTTTTTTAAACTGTTTTTTCTGTGAGAGATCCTAACAGGAGATGATTTAGAAGAGTCTTCTCTATGAAACACTGATTATATTTTCAGCAATCAAACAAAATCTCAGTCTGAAGTAGAAATTTCAGGCTGAGGCAGACACCAATGCATGGAAAATTCTAACCAATAAAGGTTAAAGTCTTGTCAAAATCCTAAGCAAAAGAACGAACTGAATTATGATAGAAAGTGTTAAGCAATTGTAATGAAAGGTATTGCTACTGTTCTGCTTATAATATAGATGGTATTTTAAAGTGTTCTAAAAATATTTGAGAAAAAGACATTACTCATATGGAATAAGGAGGCTGCAGGATGAATTACTAAAGAATGAAGGGTGATATAACAAGGAGTGTTGGTTTAATATTAGAAAAGAACAGTTTTTAATTAGAAGTCAAGAAAACATACATAGTGATGAGTCAACTGGACAGAAAATACATCAACTATGGAAGTGGCTGAGGCATCAGAAAATGAGATATTTTATATCAGACTCTACAGTAAAAGGGCATAAAAGGCAGCAGCTATTTCTACAGTTTGTGGGAAACAAAGAAGCATGCAATGCTGGAAAGCTTTTCTAGTTCTCTTAAGATTCTAATGATGCTTAGTAAGACCTCGGCCTCGCCACGTTCCGAGCATGAACGCCCCAATTCAGAAAGGCGCTTCAACTACTGCTCAACTGAACAGCCGCGTTGTCTGAGTTGACTTCGTTGCAACTGTTCATTTTTCCATCAGGCAAACGCTACATCAGATAAGTGCCACAGGGTTCGCTACCATTTGGAATCAAGGAGCAATGGATATCGCTCATGCTCATGCATTCTTTGCCATTCCAGCATACATCTTGAATGGGAAAAAAAATATACAGCACAGCAGTTCAGAGAGCTAGGAGAAAAGGACAGAGGTCAGCAGATTAAAATAGAAAAAAAACTTTCCAACAGCCCCCTAAATAATCAATCTGTGTAGTACATAACAATACACTACATCACTCCAGATTCTACAAGGTCACACCGACCTAGTTAGTTTCCTCCTGCTCCTTGAGCTGCAAAGAGCGCAGTCTATGTCAGCACACAGACCGCAGCAAAGCGTCCAAAACTCAGCATCACAGCCCTTACAGACTACGGATGAACGTGTGTGCATATTCAAGTGCTTGTGGCACTACCCTAGCAATCCAGTATCAGAAAGGCTCCTCTGCATTTTCTTTAAACATTTCTC